ATTTCGCATTACCGTCTCGAAACATGAGTTTTATTAATTAGCTGACGGAGTAAACGCATCCTTGGCACAAATCTGTATTATTTAATTTCTACGAATTATCGACCAAATATTTACAGTAGCCAATGTGTTCTTCCATAATATCCTCTACATCTGTGCCAAATTTCATCGAAATTCGTTCAGCAGTTTAGGCTACAAACTCTAACAAACTTCCATCCTTCCATCCATCCATCTAACCTTTCACATTTATAATATTAGTATGATAGTATGATGTGAAAGTTTGGATGGATGTATTTTTGTTAGAGTTTGTAGCCTAAACGGCTGAAGGGATTTTTATGAAATTTGGTATAGATGTAGAGGATAGTCTGGAAGAACACATAGGCTACACACTTTTGGTTTTATTTAATTCCAAGCGACCGGAGTCGCAGGCTAAAGCTAAATAATATTTTTTTATCTAGCTTTAGCCTGCGACTCCGGATAGTTTTTTTCATGCAGATGAAGCCGAACGAGAACAGTTAGGGTCTAAAAAATATGGTTACCTATTCAGGAAGAGACATAAATAATTTAAACATAATTTATTTTTTTAATCAAAAACATCAATTTACTTATCTAGATAATAAACAAACGACTAGAGATACGAAACACAAGAAAACAGTAGGCGTGGATTTAAAACTCGAATCCGGGCTGAGATCTGCCGTTTGACAGGTGTCAGTTTTGACATCTGTCAAAGTACGTTCGAAATTAAACGGTATTCTATCGTACGGGTTCAATTTTAACATATTATCTGATGCTAGGTTCTTCGTGTTATTGTGGAATAAGATGTCCATTTGATGGTTAAATTGTCCATACATAGAAAACATTGGACTATGGAATGGCTGATGTTTGCCAAACAGTTGGTCGATTTTTGTGAATACGTTTGTGATCTCTTGTTTGCGCATTTGGGAATTCTTGTTGGAGACAAACACGTGGCCGATATTCGACCAACTTATGAAGCAGTATTCGGGATTCTCTTCTGGGCATATCGGTATTATTTCTACAATATTTTGCGCCCACGGCTCATGGATGATGTTTGCTGAAAGAAAATTTTACTTGAAACTTTTATTGAATACTGTGAAATCATAAGTATAAAAGCGTACGTACACCTTTGACTAAACCATCGCAAAACTGTTTAGCCACGCTTTGATTCCAATGACACGATTTTTAGTTGTCCAACTAAACAGTTGAACTGGCTGTAAACACAACTATTGTGCGATCGTTTAATCAATTTTTTTTTGTGACTGATTTGTTACTGTTTGCCTTGAAGAGGCATTTACAGATTCACCGGGCTTGAGGTGGCCGAGCGCGGATGGCGCTTAGCCTAAACCTCGTTTAATCAAAGATGTGCGCGCGCTCTTTATAGCGCGTCCTAGTGATGGGATGGGTGCGTCAGTGATACCGATTTCTTCTTAAAACTAATACGGTAGAAAACCGAAGATTTTACTAATGTGCATTTATTGTTTTAAAGTCAGTTTTTAGGTATATTACTGAAATTTATCTGAGATGCATATTTTTAGTTACGTTTAAATTACTTTGAAGGAATAAAAAAAAATTGAAAACCTTTGTGAAGTCGCTTAAAAATATAAAAAAAAACAACAAGAACTAACCTCTATATTTATTGTACGTGTTCATACTGAAGAAAGCGACATCACTTTTTCCTTCTATCAAACTCCTTAATGCGTTCAATTCTCCATTACCATCCTCTTTCAAGCAATTCTTGGTTAATTTATCTATAATTTCAATCGTTGCATTATGTTCTTGTACTCCTGGAGCGCAAATATCACTGAAAAAGCTTATAAAATGTTCGCAAGGCACTTTTAATTTATCGGCAAAGTATTTTGATACAGAATGCCAAGCGACGCCATCGTAGCGCGGGAAAACAGCTCGTTTCCCGCGTAAATCTGACATTTTTTTCAACATGGCGTCCTTTCTGACGTAAGCTACAACTGTATGAGTTTTCTCAACTATGGGTGTCGCTTCGTGGAGAATGGCGGTAAGGGCGAAGTCTCTGAAATCAACACAAACTTGATTTACCCTAAAAATTTGGTAAAATCGCTGAAATAACGAAATCTGTTCAACCATCTGCGATAACTTGTAGTTAGCCGTCAGTTTTTGTTTTGAAATTAAATAATAATGAATAATATAACCTATGTTATTCACTAATAACGTAGCTTTTTAATGGTTAAGGAGTTTTTAAAATCGGCCCAGTAGTTTTTGAGTTATTTCAATACATACAAAAATTACAAATCTTTCCTATCTTTACTATTATAATTAAGCGTAAACACACACTTCTTTGTTGCCTAAGATGTCAGCGATTACAACATATTTTCGAATAACTCTTTTTTTAATAAAAAGCCCCACACTTAAGTTACGCTTTAGGCTATACATTTTCACGTCGTTAAACTTAGGGATAAATATTTTGGATAAAAACCCTAATGTAGGAAAGAAACCATAAGTTGCTGCCAACATCAAGAAGGCAATATTGCTAAGGTTTGTCATGTCATATCAATTTGACATTAGCTATTTATAATTTGACAAATGTAAACAAATATTAAAATTTTCATAATTTCATGCGGATGAAGCCGCGTGGAAACAGCTAGTTTATAATATTAGTACAGATATAGATTAATTTGTTACTTTAAGACGACATCTTGCAGAGCCGTTTATGAGTCGATCAAAAGCGGTATCTTACCTAATACCAGAAACAATCACATCACTATCAGCAACAAGGACATCGCTGTCTCCGTCTCGCACGGCGGCCATGCAATCGCGCGCGCTCGCTCTCATAGCGCACTGGAGGGGCGGCGTGACCCCGTACACCGCGCTCGCTTCACTCAACCACTCACATTTGTTCTTCTCCAACACTGATTTAGTGCAGAGAGTTATGTGCCTGAATAAATCAAAGATATGTGTTCAATGCACAAGCACTACCTTTCGGATGAAAAAGAATTATCAAAATCGGTCCACTAGCGGCGGAGTTATGCCGTAACACATATAAAAAAAAACACATACGACTTGATTACTTCCTTCTTTTGGGAAGTCGGTCAAAAATACAACCTCTTTGGCTGACAAGAAGTATGAATCCAGCCAAAGAGGTTTCTGGCCACTAAGACTTGCACTGGCTTGTTATTAAAAAGATATCGTATTAGCAGAAGAAAAAAGAACGCATAACATGCAAGATGAGATCGATATAGTTTTTGAGATTAATATTGTAAATGTAGTTAAGATAAAGGTTTAGTTCATATAAAAGTTCATAATTTTAATTAAAATTTTTAGAATTTGCTGAAGGAGTCAATGTCTTCCCCGTTTGTGAAAAGTACATAAGTGTCTAAAGAATAAATAAAAAAGCTTGTTGTAAAATTGACATATAGATATAGATATATATAATAGAAATATAGACCTGGGTGGATCACATCCGCTCTGACTATACGCCTCTCTGAAGCCGCGTGCAGTAGCGAGGTGGTCAAGCGGCGTGCGCGGCGCGTACAGCGGCACCGGCGCTGCACGCAGCTCTAGCAGCGCTGCGAGCGCTCCCCTCCAGTGTCGGTCCACAGCTGCAGCGCTTGATGGTATAGATTGTGTTAACGCGATCACCGCTGCAGCCGCTTTTCTGTGGAATGTCATTTCAAATTTAAATCAAACTATTTTGTTTTTAAATTGATTTTTTAAAATGTTCTTATTGTATGTATTTTTTATTGACGCTTGTATTTAGTTACAGTTATAGTATTTTTGTATTTTTTATGTATCTATCTATACATATAATAAAATTGGAGTGTCTGTTTGTAATATCAAAAGAAAAATTTCGGATTTCTGAACGCAAATAGCGTTGCTGATAACGAAAATCGCATTTGAAAATTCCTGTCTGTCTGTCTCAAGTCGAGTTTGTTCCGGGTAATCTCCTAAACCGCTTAACCAAATTTGGCGGGACTTTCACTGGAGGGTAGCTGACATGGATAGGCATATTATAGGTTACTTTTTAATTCCAGTTTCTAGTTTTACATAAAAACGGACTATTTTTAAACTGACCGAATAGAACATTATAGTTTATTACCTTTTAGCGACTATCACTGGCCAGGGTCTGTTCAGCCAGACGCAAGGATCCGTGTTGTTAGCAAGAGGCTGCCAACTACCATCACGACAGAGATACGCCAAATGACTTGTTTCTGTATTCTGTAGAATATCAAATTTAAAAGCAAAATTATAAAAAACCGCAAAATAATATTTCACCGGTAACTTTGTACAATGATATCTCAATGTTGAAATTGACGTTTCTTAGTGTTTGATTTATTTTGTTTATTGTCACTTTGGACACCAGGAGCGTTACATTATGTGATAATGTTTTAAAGTGAAGTGTCAGCAGTTTTTAGGCTAGTCTAGAGAGCGTAGTGTGTCAGTGGTTTAAGCATCTGTCTTGTAATTTACCGGCCTGGGTTCGAATCGCCATGTACCACGTTCTTACGGTGAAGGAAAACATCATCGTCATCATAACAAGCTCACTATACGTCCCCACCGAGGGGCACGGAGCCTACCCTAACAAGGGGTGACTAGGCCATAGTCAACCACGCTGCACTGAGGGTTGAGTTCACACATATCTTTGAATTTCTTCGCCGATATGTGCATCACGATGTTTTCCTTCACCATAATATATTGGGTAAATTATGTACATATGAAAATTCGAAAAAAATCACATTGGTACAGCGGGATTCGAACCCAAAACCTGTAGATTACAAGTCAAGTGATGCCTAAAATCTGCGAAGAAATTCAAAGATATGTGTGATTCAAAGATAAGTCCTTGAGAATCCTTGACTATGAACTATTTACCCTTAGGGTAGCCTCCCCCTTAGTGGGGACGTATAGTGAGTTGGTGGTGTCGAGTTATTTTTCACCTATATAAATTTCTACATTAGATACTGACCTTAAAATATGCTTTGACGTCACTAAGTTCCGACCACATGACGTCACCAGCGCCCTCAGACAGACACGCGAGTGCGCCGCCATCGCCCCAGTAGCGGTCAGTCTCAGAGCAAGTCGAGCGACACGCGGCACAGAGAGATGGATACTTTTTCTCTATAAAAACAACATTATTTTGTTAATCTTAGCACCTAGTAAAATTTAATAAAATTAGAGTCTGTTTGTAATATAAAAAAAAGTCCAGATTTCGGGAAGATGATGTTGCTGATACCAAAATGGCAGTTAAAAAAAATTTTGTCTGTCTGTCCGCAAGCTGCGTTTGTTCCCTGACGGGTATCTGACAGACGGGCATATTATAAGCTCTTTTTAGGTTTGGCCTTTTTAGGCCGTTCTTTTTAAATTCCGCGCTGTCAAAATGGAGTAACGGGTGGTCCTTTGTGCTAACGAAGTTTGCGGGCGACAACTCTATACTAGAAGGATTTGTATTTTTGTATGTATTGAAATAACTCAAAAACTACTGAGCCGATTTTAAAAATTTCACCGTTAGAAAGAGAATTAATCTGTGAGTAACATAGGTTATATTTTTATTAATTTTTCAAAGACGAAGTCGCGAGCAACACTTAGTGAGTTATAATTAAGAGAAGTAACTTACTTAATTCAGCATTTCTGGAAGGTTCAGGTACCCAAGGGCCGGCTTTACACGCCCTATCAAAGAATCCAGCGAGAGCTTTTATCCTGTTCTCACTGAGTGAGAGATTCGGGTCACACGATCTTGTTAGCACCAAAGATTCTAGATACTGAAATTAGTAATAATTTAACTTTAGTTTATTGCTAAAGTATTCCATTGCAAATGTCAAAATGTAATGCACAAATAACAATAAAGTTCTATACCATTGGTTAAAAGAGATTAAAATATATAGAGGAGGCATTGACATTTCATTTGAAACATTTTTAATCTTAATATCGCCATCTGTCGCTGTATCCCCGAAACCAATCAATATAATAAATTGCTGTTTCCCAATATGTGTGTGTGTCATTAAATAATATTTAAATGTTTAAAAGCTTATAGTATGTTTGGTAAAATGTCTTATTACATGTCAATACAACCACGAGATGGCACTAAACTTGACAACTGATATAGTACCTTTCAGAGAAAGTACCGGTGATAATTCGTTCAGTCTCGTCTATATATTTTTAAATATCTTCATTGGATAACAATTACCGTTACAATGGCAATCTTGCTTCTTTGTTGTTATTTGGTTCTTTTACTTTCTTACTTTATGCTTTATTATATTAGTACTAGCTGTTACCGTGCGGCTTCATCCGCATAAAATTATAAATTTTTGATTTATTGTTTACATTTGTCAAATTCTCAATTGCAACTATGGCAATCTTGCTGCTTCCATGATGTTAGCAGCAGCTTATGGTCTCTTTCCCACATTAGGGTTTTTATCCAAAATATTAACTCCCTATGTTTAATGGTGTGAAAATATATAGCCTAAAGCATGACGTAAGTGTATGGCTTTTTATTAAAAAAAGAATTATTCAAAAATATGCTGTGATTGCTGACATCTTAGGCAACAAAGAAGTGTGTTTACACTTTATTATAATAGTATAGAAGTATAGGTAGATAGATAGAAAATCATATTACCCCAGAAAGAGTATCACTGAGAGGGCGCAGATCGTCCAAACCGACGCCAGGATGGCAGAGAGAACTGTTCCTTAATATCGAAGTTAAGGGGGCAGCACTATCAGGTAATATCCGCTTATTAACTACTGCTACTACACTGCGTTCGAATTGTTCTGAAAAAAACAATAAAAAAAGTTATATTTGACTTCAAATATCTGATATAATAATTCGGTAAGTCTAACACCGCGTTTTTCCGCGACTGTACCAATGTTTTATTTACGAGTGTCATATGAATATTTAGAGCGGGCGTCTTTGACTAAACTATCCACACAACTGTTGTGCGATTGTCGATTGTTTCAGCAATTCAACTGTTTAGTTGCACTAAAAATAGAGAAGACTAAACAGTTGTGCGATAGTGTATTCAAAGGTGTGCGCGGTCTAAATATTCATATGAAATTCGTAAATAAAACGTACAGTCGTAGAAAACCGCGGTGTAAGACTTACAGAAAAAATACCTTGTTCATTGCAACGAGACTAATCCCGACAAAGAACCCTACTTATATATTACAAGCATTTTACCTCTATGCTACCAACGCTTCTTACTTTTTTTTTATAATATAAGGTGGTAAAGGAGCAAGCGGCCACCTGAATCCGCCAAAATGGTGAAACGCTGCCCATAGACATTCGCAATAGCAGATGCGTTGCCTACCCTTAATCGACGTGGGAGGAGACGCACATAAAGATGTTTCCCTTTCTATGCATCTCCTCCGCTGTCAAATCCACGTTCCCTTCCCAACCTATTCTTATGAGAAAAAGGGTGGGAAGGAAAAGGGACTAAAGTTGGGCCTGCTTCTTATTTCATTATCATCACCATCTCACACTGAGGGGTTCGGAGCATTGTTACTTGCTGTATTTAAAAATCTCAAGTTCCAATACTTACTGTCTCTGTCTCGTAACTCATTGGTCACCAGTACATCAACATTAGCCCATCTAGCAGCCACCAGGTCTTCAGGACTGAAGACTCCAAAGTCAACAGTCCCTTTACTAATACGTCGTAGACAATCCAATCTGTAAAATACAAATTATTACGTTAAATTAAATAAAAACGATTGTATAGTACTATTCAAATATCTTGTCAGCTCGGAATATCGTTTAGTAAAAAAAAAATAAAAAAAAAAAACAAGGTAAAGAACTAGAAAAAAAAAATCCAAAGATAACAAGGTTGCTGCAAAAAACATAGCAGCAGGAAATTAAGAAGGAAAAAAAAAAATATCGTTTAGTCACAATAGACACAATGTTAGATGCAACGTAGCGTAAAAAAATGCTAGGGGAGGGTACATCAATTGACCTTGAGCCGGAGAGATATTAGGATAGACTTATACCTCTTGTCACAATCGGTTCAGTCGTTTACGTAACACGAGTTTAATTTTTTAACCTACAATAAAAACACACTTCGATAAACATGCGAAAATAGAAACGTCCTGAACCTGTCAGACACAAGTTACATTAAATTGTTACTAGATGGCGTTATTTACCTATCAGTTCCGAGTACACATTCTATTTTGGAATTCTCTTCGTCAAGTACCGGACAGTACTTGGCGCCGCGTTTGTACTGGCCCCGACCTTCCACTATGCATAGACGTACTGTGGACAAAATAGATACATTAATAATGCATAAGATTTCATTTTTATTATAAAACATTTTTCACACGTTCATCACTGACGCAATCTGTTGATGGATCTATAATTAGATGATATGGCGACTTAATAACAATGTCGAACAATAGATGGCGCTTATTATGATCTTCTAAAATAATTTTATTACATGTCAATATAGACACGAGGTGGCACTAATCTTGACAACGTAACGTATCGTTAAGAGAAGATGTAAGTGAAAAAATTGAGTATTTTTTACGCTCACTGTTGCTTCTATATAATTAATTAAATGTCTTTGTCAGTCGTATTTTATACATCAATTCATCGACATATTTAAGCAAGGTTACTGCATTAAAATATTTGTTCGCATTCATATGTTAAATATTATAAAGACCTTTGGGTCATTTATGCAACACCGACCTCGGTCCTAAAACATTTAACATAAATGACGTCATTATTACGTAATCATACAACTTCGAACCACATTTGTTTATTGACGTCAATACCGGCTTTAGGGTAGGGCAAGGTGGGGCGTACGCCCAGGGCGCCAAAGATAGGGCGCCTAAGGCATATAAAAGGGCGTCAAGGTTACATTTTTAATTTGTATTGCAGTTCGGAAGCTCCAGTTATTGTTCAATGTGCCTATTTGATGCCAGTCCAATTAAACGATACTGATTTACTGTACTGGCCAAATGTAGACTTGATGCAAAAACTGGCATTCAGGACTACAATACGTAAAGGTTCGCTAGGTTAGTAATTTAGTCGAGTACAAGGTAATTTAGTACCTAAAATTGTCTTTCTATGCTTCTATACTATAGTTTGTCTAATTAAGATAGATTAGTTTGATAAATGACGCATATCGAATTCAATTCGTATGAAGGCAAATGTCGTACTTAATAGACAGGTATCGTGACGAAACAAACACGCAGCGAACAATTTTGAACTATCGATATTCGGTTTAAATAATTATCAAACTCAACTAAAATTATAATTTTCTTATTCACTAATTTAGAGGACAATTCTAGTGTTGATTATAGTGTAGAGAATTTAGCGATGACAGAAATAATAGCGAAATCAAATTCGATTACGTACGGCTGTAGTAGTAATAAACATTTATTTACTCTCACTAATTGTTATGGTTATTATTAATTTGAGAAAACAGTGTTTTTTTATTGCATTAGTTATAACAATAAATCTGTCGATTCCAACTTCTATAAGAATAAAAATCGAAAATCGATAAGATTCATGACTGATTACACAACCCATCCCTACTAAATTTGAAGTGAATTGTCAAACTAATCTAAATTATTTAGACACACTATAATATTATGAAGAGGAAAGATTTGTATTTTTACGTATTGAAATAACTCAAAAACTACTGGACCGATTTTAAATTGTTTTTTCACTTTAATTTTCTTTCAACGTTGTATTTACATTATCACTGAGTAACATAGGCTATGTTTTTGTTTTTTTTTATTTTCACGCAGCCGATGTCGGGAACAACAGCCAGTTGATTATATTTTCATTAGACTGTGAACGTTGTTGTATTAATATTTCTGGGGGCATATAAATTTTTAGAAATGTTAAGGGGCACACATTAAAGTATGGGAAACACAGATTTAGAGGCATTCCGCACAAATGACCTTGAAGTGTCAAGACATGTCTAAAGCCACGTACTTGTGTGTAAAACCACTTCGCAATAATTTCTATGTAATTTACCCGAGTATTTGACGTGTGATTAGCGTTTATTAAGGAAAATACAACGAGAAATCTTTCACAATCTTATTATCTTAGTTGCACATTGGTTGCACTTACCTAAGTATCGAGAAAGTCATAAATTACTGTTAAGAACAAAATTAGTACAGTGCTGTAGAATTGGCGCAACTCTAGATTATCGGCATTAGCGTCACATCCCTAGCTGACAGCTGTCAATGTCACAGGAAGGATGGATAGATTGGCGCGCAACCTGAGTCCTGACGAGAAGTGTTGCTCTGAGTTTAAAGCGACAGTATCGATTAAGTAAGTTGTCTAAAATTACGGATTTACTGGCCCCAGTAATTTGCAATGTGCTAGTTTATTGCCAGTCCAGTTTTCAAGCAATACTACTGTACTGTCAATGTGAAATGCATATCAATATCAACGCTATTACTAACAAGTTTATGTTATACCAAAAGTGAACTAATACCATTATCAACTTGCCCTTATCCCTTACGGAGGGTCGGCACAGTATGTGCTGCTTCCATACATCTCTATCAGCCGTCATATCTGAAACTACTCCTTTCTTAAGCATATCCTCTTTCACACAATCCATACTTTCTTCGGTCTTCCTCTACCTTTGTAGGCATCCACATTAATTCTTAACACTTTCTTGTTTATGTCCGCAACGGTTACAACTGTCAAATATTATATCTTTGGGAAGAGCAACGGCGGACCTAGGGGGGGGGGGTAGCATGGGGTAGCATCATGACCCCCCCTGAGCTGATTGCTCAAGATGTTGACAAAATATATTTACATATTTAGTCAAGCTCTTGATTTGTTCACGACTATGTGACCCCCCTGACGCCAAAGCTGGATCCTCCCTTGGGAAAGAGTACATACTGAGTCATCATTTTCTATTCTTGTAAAGCATCAATTCGTTTTAGACAACTTATTTAATTGATACTGTCGCTTTAAACTCAGAGCACTTCTCGTCAGGACTCAGGAACAGCCTTGGATAGTACACGTACGATGTACTAGTAAGTAATGTTACTCGGCACTGTACTAAAAGTAACGTTACCGAACGGCTTCTGTTAATCGGACATTTGGCACTTTTAGTACACTACAAGATGTCAGTGTTCGCTTCTTCGTTGTTTGATTTGGTTTAATATTTGCCAGATTGAAGCATCCTTCGGTAATAAGAATTAAAAGTGGATAAAATTATTTACAACTTAAATTTATTTTCGCTAATAACATATGTTTGACCCTGCTTAAAATTTGATGTGAAGTAATCTATAGCCCGTTGTATTCTATTCATGTTATTGTGTTCTCATAAATCTGAAGTACAAAAGGTACTAAAAGTGTGTACTAGTACGCTTTCCCAATTGTACTAGTACGGTGCGCACTTGCAGATGTCCGGTTAAGCGCAACAGTACTAAGGATGCGCGCCAATTTATCCATACTTCTAGTGACATTGACAGCTGTCGGCTAGGGACGTGACGTTTATGCCGATAATCTAGAGTTGCGCCAATTCTACAGCACGGTACTAATTTTATTCTTAACATTAGTCACCAGTTTAATATCTTCATTAGCAATGGATGTGTTATTAAATAATTATGCAAATTCTTTTCCTTATCACGTTACTACTGTTGTGAAATGATAGCGTCGGTTTCCTCAAAAAGAATTAATGTAAGGACAACCTTTATAACGCCCGCTATAGACTACGAGCTGTTGCCCGCAACTTCGTCCGCGTGGTATTAGAAAACATACGAACTATTTAAATTACAAATATCCCTCGGGAACCGGACATATCTCGGAGATGAAGGTTATCCCATGTGTAATCCAAACTTTGTTTTATATCTGTGACAAATTTCAATAAGATATGTTGAGCAGAATGATCGAGTAAACATTAAAAAACTAAATTAATGAATCCCACGGGAACCGTAACTATACCCGGGATAAAAAGTAGCTTATGTGTTCTTCCACACTATGCTCTAAACCTGTGCCAAATTTCATGGAGATCCGTTCAGCCGTTTAAGCTACAAACGCTAACAAACATCCATCCATCCATCCATCCATCTAAACTTTCACATTTATAATATTAGTAAGAAGTAAGATTACAAGAGGATTATCTTCGGTTTTAGATTTTGTATTTTCAAATAAAACACAAAAAATCAAGTCCATAGATTAAAAGTTTTAGGTTACAAAAAAACTATCATAAGTTTCACACACCACATATTTCCAGCCAGTCTCAATTGCAACGAAAAAAGGCTAAAAGTCAATGTAAGATTTATTTTAATCTTTATTAAAAAAAAACATTAAAAGTAGTGGAGACGACCAAATGACCTTGAAAGTGACCGTCAGCGATCTGAACGACAATAACCTGTTCACATTGTAGGTAAACGTGCGAAACGTGCTCGAAATTTAAAAAAAAAGTAAGAGTTTAATTATCTGTGCTTATTCGAGTTGGCGCGCTTTTTTTACATTTGCAATTTTATTCACACTCACAGCATACGTATTAAAATCACAAAGAAATAAAAATAATAAAACCCTTAATCAGAACGAACCTAGAAAGACATTTTCCTCCCTACAAACGAGCAAAAATGTAGCCTATCGAAGCCCTTTAAAGCAACATATTTATAAACAAGACTACACAATCTTTTTTAAATTCTAGTCATATCTTCAACAGCAAATGTCAACAGGATATAAACTAATAAATGTTATAATCAAAAAATACGTGGGCGTAAAACAGGTATCAGAATTAATACAGCTTGACTGTTATTACTGTAAACTCATATACAAAGTTTGTTATTTTCCTGTTACCAAAATATTTATTGAAAAATTTGATAATTCTTTGAGACTAAACTAAAATTATAGGCCAAGCTCTCGCGACTTCGTCCGTGTGAAATAAAAAAAAAAGTAAGTAGCCTATGTATCCTTCCAGACTATCGTCTATACCTTTCATCGAAATCCGTTTAGCCGTTTAGACTACAAACTCATAACAAACATCCATATAACATTTACAGTGGTAGAGCCCGCTTTAACATCTTCACACGAATGGGCCGGCTAGCCCGGTGCAATACCACGACCACACCAGAAAACAGGCGTGAAGTGGAAGCAATTCCGCGTTTCGTCTGATTAGTGTGATGCCGGAGGCCTAATTTAAGTCCCTTTCCCTTTCCACCCTTTTCTTAAGAGGAAAGGATGGGAAGGAAAAGTGGATTTGACGGTGAGGAGACGCATAGGAAGGGGAAATGTC